CCCAAGTGGAGATGCTGATCAATGGGAATGAATGAGGTCTAGTGATGACCTTGTAGGGGGCTATTCTGGGAACCAACCTGAGTCTTATAGATACTTCCACTCTGTGCAGCACCACTTGATGCCTCAGCAGCTCTGGGCGCCAGAAAGCTCACCACACACCGTTCAGAGTAGTAGCCAGTCGTCCTCACTACGAGCCCTCTGCCTCAGCACTGCATCTCTCATTCCTCTCACGCTTCAGGAGACTCCACAATTGATGTTTTCAAAAGATCCAGAACTAAGCAGCCATTGGAAACAAAAAAAAGCTGTTAAGGTGTCCAGATGTATCATTCAAACAAAAAAGAATGAGCCAGCTAGCAAGCTGCCGGTACATCTGCAAATATTTAAAAAAAACACAATTAAAAACACTTACAAATAATGTATTATGTACATATTTCCAGGAGCTCTCGGCTTAGTCTGCTAGGGCGCCATGGCAACTACATAACCAACACAGACAACTTTGTGTGTGTGTGTGTGTGTGTGTGTGTGACAATACAATACCTAGTTTATTGAACTGAATGGTTAACACGAAATTGGTGACTTATTACTGCTTGAGTAGGCTGTTTCATGCGTGAAAGCTAGCCAACATTAAATTATGACAGTGTGGTGTAAAATTGCTCAACCCTGAATCCTTTAAAATCCAACGCGTGGATGATTCCTATTTGCTCAAAGGCTCTCACAGCCTCCGTTACTAGGAAACGATTACGAGGTGCATTGTGGGTATCGAACTTTACAAACCCTTTCCCCAGTATTGTAAACCCAGTTTATAGCTTATTCTAAAACTACACATCCCACAATGCAGTTCATCCAGGACGCGTACGCCCCTTCTAAACACATGACTTAAGGCTAGAAAGACAGACAAACGAACGGTAGCTCTGAAATTGCGTTTCATTAAAGATTTTATCCATATATTTTTCTGTACGGTGCAAAAATGAAGTTCGGTTGTTTGTTCGCGGTGTTGTGCCTCGCCGTCGGGGCGATGGCAGGAAAGTATTCTCGAGAAATGAACGACCAGAAACCGTCTATGGACGGCAAGAGCACGGTGGAATTTAGGGTAGCTAAACCCAACCAGGTGTGGGAGAAAGCAATCAGGGTAAGTCAAGTGATGCTAGCTAGCTTAGCTTTGTTTACTTAAATATTGAGACAGTCCAGCGTGAATTGTCTTCGTTATCGGGTCGTGTCTAGTCCTAGTGGAGTTCATGGGTTTTCGTAGCTAACTATCATTCTAACGTTAGAGACGTTTTGTCTACAATGCCTTGGTCTATCCAACATTTGTTTAGCTAACTTAGCTAGCTAACAGTTACCTTACTTGCTTGGGGTCGGTAGCTGAATCAGCTAACGTTAAGTAGTTAGAGATAGCTGAGGTCTGATTGTACCCCGGTACTTCAGGCACCCATTTCTCTCACAGACAGACACAGGCGAGACGCACTACCCTCCATTAGTTCGTCTGATTTTATTTACTGCTCATCCTCTCTCCTTCCCTCTCCCCCATCCTCGCTCTCCTTCCTCTCTCCCCCATCCTCCTCTCCTTCCCTCTCCCCCATCCTCATTTCTCTCTCTCTCTCCTTCTCTCTCTCCCCTCCTCCTTCTCTCTTCTCTCTCCTCCTTCTGCCCCTTACTTCCACCTATTTCCTATCTCTCTATCTCTCTCTTGTCATCCCTCCATCTTTCTCTCATCATCCCTCTCTCTCCCTCCGTCTCTAGTTGCAGTTGTCCCCCCACTACGCAATCCCCCCCATCAGTCAGTTCCCCCAGTCTCACGCTCCCATTTCTCTCCTTTCAGTGGTCCCTAGATGCTCAGTTACCAAGCCGGTGGCCACCGAGGATGGTGACGGCAGAATCTAACCAAGCAATATGCTTGCTTCCCCCGGTCTGGGGGAGGGGAGTTACAGAGTAAGGGGCCAGAGCTCCAAGTGCCTGAAGATGGAGGAGAAAGAGAATACAGTGGAAGAAGTGAAGAGGGATGGGAGAAGGGAGAGAGAGAGGCCAAGCTACGACGTGGCTTCAACGGTGAGAGGGATGGGGAGGGGGAGAGAGAGAGACTGGTGATAGACTGTGATCCACAAAGAATTAGAAAACAAACCCAATTTTGATAAACTCCCTTATCTACTGGGTGAAAAACCACAGTGTGCCATCACAGCTGCAAGATGTGTGACCTGTTGCTACAAGAAAAGGGCAACCAGTGAAGAACAAACACAATTGTAAATACAACCCATATTTATGTTTATTTATTTTCCCATTTGTACTTAACAATTTGCACATTGTTACAACACTATATTATAATATATAACACAATATTGACATTTGAAATGTCTTTATTCTTTTGGAACTTCTGAGTGTAATGTTTACTGTTAATATTTGTTTATTTCACTTTTGTTTTTCTATCTACTTCACTTGCTTTGGCAATGTTAACACACGTTTACCAAAAAGCCAATGAATTTAAAGCCCTTAAACTTGAAATTGAATTGAGAGAGGCCAAGCTTACGATACAGCTTCAACTGTGAGGGAGAGGGAGAGAGAGAGGCCAAGCTACGATACAGCTTCAACTGTGAGAGAGAGGGAGGGGGGAGAGAGAGGCCAAGCTACGATACAGCTTTAGGGAGAAGAGAAAGGTGCAGAGAGGAGCCAAGCTCGATGTTTCCCGACCCTTAGGGGGAGGGATAAGAACCAAGTTTATGATACCCAGTGGAGGCAGGGAAGAGAACCAACTCCAGTCATGTGGACCCCAGGGTGTCCAGATAGGGAGAGAACGAACTCCAGTCACGATACCCCAATGTGAGGATTGGGGAGATGACAACCAGTTAGATAACCAGTTATGTCAGGTTAGGGAGAGAGAAGCCAGTCATGATAACCTCACTTGGGAGGGGGGAGAAACCAAACTCCAGTCATGTGGGAGCAGGTGTCCAGGCTTAGGGACGATAACCCAAATCAGATGAGAGACCAGGTGTGTAGGTTAGGAGAGAGAGCAACTACCATATGATGCCAAGTGTGTAGGGTAGGGGGAGAGACCAACTCCAGTCATGATGAAGGGAAGAGGGTCCAGTCAACTTTGAAGGGAGGGGATGAAAGCCAAGTACGATACCCAACTGTTGGGAGGGTGAGGGGGAGATAGACCCAACTACCAGTCACTGATGGAAAGCCAGTCGTACCCGCTTCATTAGGAGAGGAGAACGAAAGGCCAGTACATGATGAGAACCCAAATTGTGTTCCCGCTTTAGGGGGGGAGGACCAATACAGTTTAGAGATGAACCCCAGTGTGTCCAGACTTTAGGGAGATAACAACTCCAGTCATGATGAACCCCAGTGTGTCCAGACTTTAGGGAGATAACAACTCCAGTCATGATGAACCCCAGTGTGTCCAGGCTTTAGGGAGATAACAACTCCAGTCATGATTGAACCCCAGTGTGTCCAGACTTTAGGGAGATAACAACTCCAGTCATGATGACCCCAGTGTGTCCAGGCTTTAGGGAGATAACAACTCCAGTCATGATGAACCCCAGTGTGTCCAGACTTTAGGGAGATAACAACTCCAGTCATGATGGACCCCAGTGTGTCCAGGCTTTAGGGAGATAACAACTCCAGTCATGATGAACCCCAGTGTGTCCAGACTTTAGGGAGATGACAACTCCAGTCATGATGAACCCCAGTGTGTCCAGACTTTAGGGAGATAACAACTCCAGTCATGATGAACCCCAGTGTGTCCAGACTTTAGGGAGATGACAACTCCAGTCATGATGAACCCCAGTGTGTCCAGGCTTTAGGGAGATAACAACTCCAGTCATGATTGACCCCAGTGTGTCCAGGCTTTTGGATGACAACCCAGTCATGAAACCCCATGCATTAGGTTTTAAAATACAATAATGGCCCAAAGTGTGTGGTATATGGGCATACAACCACGGCAAGGCCGTGTTCCCCTTTGGAGATACAATCCAAGGACATGAGTGCTTTGGGGGTAAAGTCCGTTAGGCCGTGGTATTTGGCAAAACAACCACAATACCCAGAGGTGCTTTATTCCTAGTATAAACCCCGTGGGGTTTCCAAGGCTTTAGGGAGATAACAATCACATGTTGTGGGCATGCTAGGGATTAACACTCAGTCTGAATACCCAGCAGGGTTTAGCGCAATACAACCAGTCAGGGATGGAACCCCAGTATGTGTGACTAGGGAGATGAAATCCACAGAAACTGCCTAGTGTGTCCCCAAATTGGGAGAAACAAATCCAGTTCAGATTAACCCAGTGGCTTTGGAGATGAACCAGCAGAAGAACCCTGTGTCCACAGGAGATAACACCCACAGGGCTGTGTATTTTGAGAGACTACAAAACACTGCATTAGGTTTCAACAATTTACCTATACCACGGCAGGGCTGTTATGAGAACCCGAGCCTGATACAGCCTTTGTGGTAACATTACCACAACCCAAGGGCTTTTTGATAAACACCAAAGAACAACCTACTGCCCCTATAGTGTCATTTACCACAGTCACCACAGCACAGGGTTGGAAACCAGTAATGAGTGGAAGGCTGACAGCCACAGAACACTGCCTAGTGGTCAACATTACACCCACACAGGGCTGTGATGAGAACACAGAACACTGCCTAGTGGTCAACATTACACACACACAGGGCTGTGATGAGAACACAGAACACTGCCTAGTGGTCAACATTACACACACACACAGGGCTGTGATGAGAACACAGAACACTGCCTAGTGGTCAACATTACACACACAGGCTGTGATGAGAACACAGAACACTGCCTAGTGGTCAACATTACACACACAGGCTGTGATGAGAACACAGAACACTGCCTAGTGGTCAACATTACACACCACAGGGCTGTGATGAGAACACAGAACACTGCCTAGTGGTCAACATTACACCCACCAGGGCTGTGATGAGAACACAGAACACTGCCTAGTGGTCAACATTACACACACAGGGCTGTGATGAGAACACAGAACACTGCCTAGTGGTCAACATTACACACACACAGGGCTGTGATGAGAACACAGAACACTGCCTAGTGGTCAACATTACACACACACAGGGCTGTGATGAGAACACAGAACACTGCCTAGTGGTCAACATTACACACACACAGGGCTGTGATGAGAACACAGAACACTGCCTAGTGGTCAACATTACACAAACAGGGCTGTGATGAGAACACAGAACACTGCCTAGTGGTCAACATTACACACACAGGGCTGTGATGAGAACACAGAACACTGCCTAGTGGTCAACATTACACACACTGGGCTGTGATGAGAACACAGAACACTGCCTAGTGGTCAACATTACACACACAGGGCTGTGATGAGAACACAGAACACTGCCTAGTGGTCAACATTACACACACTGGGCTGTGATGATACCAGTATCGCCAGAAAAGAAAACAGGAAGCAGACCCATCTCTTTTGTCCTTTAGTAACCTGCTGGATGTAAAGTGTTGTGTGCTATAGCCTGGAAAATAAATACATGTGACTCTGGATGACAACACGATGATGATTGTTTCCAACATCAGGGCTGTTTTCCTAAAGAAGTTAAATCTGCTTCAGTGTTTTGTTTCCTTGCCACGATACTAACGAATATGGCGATACTGGTATGGTCCCGGCCCTACACACACACACACCTTGTGAAAACACATGCCACCGACCACCACTACCAGCACACAAAGCCTGTTCAACACTCAGTAGGAGAGGATTCAGTCTAGTGTCACACACCCTCGTTAAACGACCTACCTCACTGACGGAGAGAGAGACAGAGAGAGAGAGAAGGGCTAGAAGGGAAGAGTGTTTTAAATATTAGATGAACACATAAAAAATTAGCTAGCTGGCAGTCGCGTAGACTTCATCTTCATCAGCTAGGTAGGGTCTGTGTCCCAAATGGTACCCTATTCCCTACTATGTAGTGCACTACTTTTGACCAGGGCCTCTAGGGAATGGGGTGCCATTTGGGACGCGATCCAGAGAAGAACTCTACAGCTCGGTTCTGATTCTGTCGTTCCATAATTCACCGACCAACCAAAGTGGATTTCTGCTCCAGGCCTCCATGGGACTAGGTCTATTAATGTCTTAGATGTTCTATAGAGAGCAGAGCTGCTTTAAAAACAGTAGATTTTCTATAGAGAGCAGAGCTGCTTTAAAAACAGTTGATTTTCTATAGAGAGCAGAGCTGCTTTAAAAACAGTTGATGTTCTATAGAGAGCAGAGCTGCTTTAAAAACAGTTGATGTTCTATAGAGAGCAGAGCTGCTTTATAAACAGTAGATTTTCTATAGAGAGCAGAGCTGCTTTAAAAACAGTTGATGTTCTATAGAGAGCAGAGCTGCTTTAAAAACAGTTGATTTACTATAGAGAGCAGAGCTGCTTTAAAAACAGGGGGAAGGTGTGTGTCTCGTTATAATGTCGTGGTGGTGTGAAGGGGAAGGTGTGTGTCTCGTTATAATGTCGTGGTGGTGTGAAGGGGAAGGTGTGTGTCTCGTTATAATGTCGTGGTGGTGTGAAGGGGAAGGTGTGTGGCTCGTTATAATGTCGTGGTGGTGTCAAGGGGAAGGTGTGTGGCTCGTTATAATGTCGTGGTGGTGTGAAGGGGAAGGTGTGTGTCTCGTTATAATGTTGTGGTGGTGTGAAGGGGCAGGGGAAGGTGTGTGGCTCGTTATAATGTCGTGGTGGTGTGAAGGGGAAGGTGTGTGTCTCGTTATAATGTCGTGGTGTCGTGAAGGGGAAGGTGTGTGGCTCGTTATAATGTCGTGGTGGTGTGAAGGGGAAGGTGTGTGTCTCGTTATAATGTCGTGGTGGCGTGAAGGGGAAGGTGGGTGTCTCGTTATAATGTTGTGGTGGTGTGAAGGGGAAGGTGTGTGTCTCGTTATAATGTTGTGGTGGTGTGAAGGGGAAGGTGTGTGTCTCGTTATAATGTGGTGGTGTGAAGGGGAAGGTGTGTGTCTCGTTATAATGTCGTGGTGGTGTGAAGGGGAAGGTGTGTGGCTCGTTATAATGTCGTGGTGGTGTGAAGGGGAAGGTGTGTGTCTCGTTATAATGTCGTGGTGGTGTGAAGGGGAAGGTGTGTGGCTCGTTATAATGTCGTGGTGGTGTCAAGGGGAAGGTGTGTGGCTCGTTATAATGTCGTGGTGGTGTGAAGGGGAAGGTGTGTGTCTCGTTATAATGTCGTGGTGGTGTGAAGGGGCAGGGGAAGGTGTGTGGCTCGTTATAATGTCGAGGTGGTGTGAAGGGGAAGGTGTGTGTCTCGTTATAATGTTGTGGTGGCGTGAAGGGGAAGGTGGGTGTCTCGTTATAATGTCGTGGTGGTGTGAAGGGGAAGGTGGGTGTCTCGTTATAATGTCGTGGTGTCGTGAAGGGGAAGGTGTGTGGCTCGTTATAATGTCGTGGTGGTGTGAAGGGGCAGGGGAAGGTGTGTGGCTCGTTATAATGTCGTGGTGGTGTGAAGGGGAAGGTGTGTGTCTCGTTATAATGTCGTGGTGGTGTGAAGGGGAAGGTGTGTGTCTCGTTATAATGTCGTGGTGGTGTGAAGGGGAAGGTGTGTGGCTCGTTATAATGTCGTGGTGGTGTGAAGGGGAAGGTGTGTGTCTCGTTATAATGTCGTGGTGGTGTGAAGGGGAAGGTGTGTGGCTCGTTATAATGTCGTGGTGGTGTGAAGGGGAAGGTGTGTGTCTCGTTATAATGTCGTGGTGGTGTGAAGGGGAAGGTGTGTGTCTCGTTATAATGTCGTGGTGGTGTGAAGGGGAAGGTGTGTGTCTCGTTATAATGTCGTGGTGGTGTGAAGGGGAAGGTGTGTGTCTCGTTATAATGTCGTGGTGGTGTGAAGGGGAAGGTGTGTGGCTCGTTATAATGTCGTGGTGTCGTGAAGGGGAAGGTGTGTGTCTCGTTATAATGTCGTGAAGGGGCAGGTGTGTGTGTGTGTGTGTGGTCATCACAACTGCTGACATACACGTTGCTTTTGCGTGTTCAGAATGTTTGTGATGTTGTAGCGGCAGGGTTAAGTCAGCATGTCCCAACTCTACCGACCCACCATGTTGTGTCTTCCTCGGCGAACGACGCACAGTATGAAATATTTTAAATAACTAACCTAAGGATAGACCACAGGCCTGTCGTTTCCAATGGAGAGTAAAGTTAATCATAGCGGGCAGAACAAGCAAGGAGGTGGGCAGAGCCAAGCACGAGCTAGCGAGAGCCTATTGGTGCGTTCTAGCATGTATTTGCATATTTCTGTTAGGGAACGCCTACTCCGTGAAGTGGGCGTGTGTAATAAGTCAATTCACCCTTTCACTCCTTATAAACAACGCCATTTTTTTACAAGTTTGGCAAAGGGTAAAGTCTACAAAACGTAGGCCACTCTGTTCGTAACAGATTGTAATTTTGGGAACGGAAAACTGTATTGAGATCAAATGTTTAATCGATGAGAAAATTAGCAGAATGTCGGCCAAAATCCATCTCGCTTCATCTTCTCCCACTGCCGGCCACTGGGCTTCCTCTCAACACCATATTTGGTAGCGAGTGGAAACGCTTCAGATGCTTCACGTGTATACATCCGGTGAAACATCTGGCTCATTGTCCTATCCAGGATAGTGTTGTTAACTGGCGTCCATTTTGTGTCTCCCCCGCCCCAGTGATCCTGGCTAAGTATGGGATGGATGGGAAGAAGGACACCAGACCTCTAGAATCTAACAACCTGAAGGACCATGACAGCAGAGGAGGAGACATGTTCGATGACCCTAGACTGGACAAACTGTGGAATAAGGTGAGAGAGGGGTGAGGGAGGGACGGAGAAGGGGGGCACTTGTTCTCTCAGAGTGGACACTTGTTCTCTCAGAGTGGGCACTTGTTCTCTCAGAGTGGGCACTTGTTCTCTCAGAGTGGACACTTGTTCTCTCAGAGTGGACACTTGTTCTCCCAGAGTGGACACTTGTTCTCCCAGAGTGGACACTTGTTCTCCCAGAGTGGACACTTGTTCTCCCAGAGTGGACACTTGTTCTCTCAGAGTGGGCACTTGTTCTCCCAGAGTGGACACTTGTTCTCCCAGAGTGGACACTTGTTCTCCCAGAGTGGACACTTGTTCTCCCAGAGTGGACACTTGTTCTCTCAGAGTGGACACTTGTTCTCTCAGAGTGGGCACTTGTTCTCCCAGAGTGGACACTTGTTCTCCCAGAGTGGACACTTGTTCCTCCCAGAGTGGACACTTGTTCTCCCAGAGTGGACACTTGTTCTCCCAGAGTGGACACTTGTTCTCCCAGAGTGGACACTTGTTCTCTCAGAGTGGGCACTTGTTCTCCCAGATGGACCGGTGTTCTCCCAGAGTGGACACTTGTTCTCCCAGAGTGGACACTTGTTCTCCCAGAGTGGACACTTGTTCTCCCAGAGTGGACACTTGTTCTCCCAGAGTGGACACTTGTTCTCCCAGAGTGGACACTTGTTCTCCCAGAGTGGACACTTGTTCTCCCAGAGTGGACACTTGTTCTCCCAGAGTGGACACTTGTTCTCCCAGAGTGGACACTTGTTCTCCCAGAGTGGACACTTGTTTCTCCCAGAGTGGACACTTGTTCTCCCAGAGTGGACACTTGTTCTCCAGAGTGGGACACTTGTTCTCTCAGAGTGGGCACTTGTTCTCCCAGAGTGGACACTTGTTCTCCCAGAGTGGGCACTTGTTCTCCCAGAGTGGGCACTTGTTCTCCCAGAGTGGGCACTTGTTCTCCCAGAGTGGACACTTGTTCTCCCAGAGTGGGCACTTGTTCTCCCAGAGTGGACACTTGTTCTCTCAGAGTGGGCACTTGTTCTCCCAGAGTGGGCACTTGTTCTCCCAGAGTGGGCACTTGTTCTCCCAGAGTGGGACACTTGTTCTCCCAGAGTGGGCACTTGTTCTCCCAGAGTGGACACTTGTTCTCCCAGAGTGGACACTTGTTCTCCCAGAGTGGACACTTGTTCTCCCAGAGTGGACACTTGTTCTCCCAGAGTGGACACTTGTTCTCCCAGAGTGGACACTTGTTCTCCCAGAGTGGACACTTGTTCTCTCAGAGTGGACACTTGTTCTCCCAGAGTGGACACTTGTTCTCCCAGAGTGGGCACTTGTTCTCCCAGAGTGGACACTTGTTCTCTTCCCTGACTGGTATCAGTAATATGGTGATTACTCCCACTAGCCCAGGGCCTCCACCAACCCCCACTGGTTTTAGATGTGTGAAAAGTAGTGAACGAGTGCACACTTCAGGAGAAAGGTGATATGATTGGGACGTACCCCCAGTTTCAATATAGAAGCGTCCATTTTGGGGATGAGCGTGCTTGGTTTCCCTCCCTCTGGCTTACACCCCCAGTTTACAACCCAAGAAGTCAGTTTCTCTCCCTCTGGCTAACACCCCCAGTTTACAACCCAATAAGTCATTTTGGGGCTACCTCTCCTCAGTTTCTCTCCCTCTATGGGAGAAAATACCAACACCCTAGCCTTTCTTCCTACTGACACTTGTCTCTTCCTACTGACACTGACTTTGCTGTCACAACTGTAATGGAAATGTTTCCCTACAGGCTAAGATTTCTGGTAAGTTCTCCGAGGAGGAGATGCAGAGTCTGAAGAGAGAGTTCCAACACCACAAGGACAAGATCAGCGAGTATAACATCGTCATGGATACCGTCAGCCGCACAGAGGGTGAGAGAGATTTTTACTACGTTCAGTCTTGTTCTCCTCCTCTCCTCTCTCTCTCCCCTTCCCTCTCTCTCTTTTCTCTCTTTTTGTCTTTTTTTTGTCTCTCTTTCTCCTTTTTTTTGCCCCTTTTCCCCCTTTTTCCCTTTTTCTCTTTTCTCTCTGTTCTCTCTCCCCCTTCTCTCTCCCCCCTCCCCCCTCCCCGGGTTCTTCCCCCCTCTTCTCTCCCCCCCTCTCTGTTTCTTTCTGCCCTCCCCAAATGTCCCTTTTTCCCCCTTCCTCTCGTCTTTTCCCCTCTCCCCTCTTCTCCCCCCTCTCTTTTCTTTTCCTCTCCCCCATCTCCCTTTTGTTCTGGGGGGGCCCCCCTTCTCGTTTTCCTCTCTCCCCCTTTTTCTCCCTCCCCCCCACTCCCCCCTTTTCCGCCTCCCCTCCTCCCCCCTCTCTCTCTTCTCTCCCCTCCCCCTCCCTTTTTTCCCCTCTCCTCTTTTTTCTCTCCCCCCCTTCCCCGGGCCTCCTCTTCTCTCTTTCTCTCTCCCCACCTCCCCCCCACCCTTGGGTCCTTAAAAAACTCCGGCTGTTTTATTGGGAATTTTTAATTTAGGGGGGAATTTTTTTTGGTTTTGTTTTTTTTAAATCTCCTTTTATTTTGGAATTGCCTCCTTAAGTCCCTTGTTAACTTGGGGGGTGAAAATGTTTTGATTTTTCCCCCTTTTCCCCTTTCCTTGGGCCCTTCCCTCCCTCCCCCCCTCTCTCTCTCCTTCTCCCCCCCTTTTTCTCCCCTTCTCTTCTCCCCTCTCTTCTCCCCTCTCCGCTCCCCCCCTCCCTCCCTCGTCCTCCTCTCTCTTTTCCTCTCCCTCTCCTCCCCTCTCTCCTCCCCTCTCCCCCTTTTCCTCCTCCTCCCCTCCCCTCCTCCCCCCTTCTTCTCCTCCTCTTTTTTAATTTTTTTTTTTTTTCCTCCTTATTCCTCTTCCTCTTCTTTCCTTTTTTTCTTCCCTCCCTTCCTCCTTCCCTTCTTCCCCCCCCTTTCCCCCCCTCTCCCCTCTCTCTCTCTCCCTCCCCTCCTCCTCTCTCCTCTCCCTCCTCCCCTCTCCTCCCTCTCCCTCTCCTCTCTCCCCTCTCTTTTCCCCTCCCCTCTCTCTCTCCATCCCTCTCTCTCTCCTCCTCCCCTTTCCCCCTCCTCCCCTCTCTTCCCCTCTCCCCCTCCCCCTCTCTCCCCCCTTTCTCTCTCTTCTCCCCCTCTTTTCCCCTCTCTCCTCCCTCCCTCCCTGCCCCTCCCCTCCCTCCCTCTCCCCCTCTCTCCCTCTCCCCCTCCTCCCCCCCTCTTTTTCCCTCTCTCCCTCCCTCCCCCCCTCCCCCCCCCCCTCTCCCTCCCCTCCTCCACCCCTCCTCCCCCCTCCCTCTCCCTCCCTCCTCCCCCCCTCCCCCACCCTCTCCCCCCCCTCCTCCCCCCCTCCCTCCACCCCCCTCCCTCTCCCCCCCCTCCCTTTTCCCTCCCTCCCCCTCCCTCCCTCCTCCCTCCCCCTCCCTCCCTCCCCACCCCCCCCTCCCCCCCCCCCTCCCCCCCTCCCTCCCCCTCGCTCCCCTCCCTCCCCCCCCTCCCTCCCTCCCCCCCTTCCCCCCCCCAAAAATCCCTCCCCCCCCCCCTCTCCCCCCTTTTCCCCCCCCCCCTCCTCCCTCCCTCCCCCCCCTCCCCCCTCCATCCATCCCCCCTTTTCCTCCCTCTGTCCCCCCTCTATAGGATCCATAAAAGTGTCCCCTCCCATTAAAGGGGAATTTTAAAAAAAACATTCCTGCACAAAACACACAGACCTGAAGGACAAGATGGGGTGTGTGTGTGGGGTGTGTTTTTTAAAGGGTGTGTGTAAAATGTGTGAAATTCCCCGGTGTGTTTTGGTTTTGTGTGTATTAACGGTTTGTTGTTTTTTTGGGGGGAAATCTGAACCAGGGTTTTCAAACGCCGAGGAAACTCACCCAGGGTTTCCCAGCGAGGTCACGGGAGGGGTTGTACACACACCACACCCCCAAAAACACACCCACCCACTTTTGAGTGGCGAGCGGGGCGGTCCCCCTCCCCTCTGTAGAGTTTTAAAGAGCCCGGGGATAGGCTGGGGGAGATGGCACAGAGACCCAAACCCTGACGAAGTTTTAACCTGGATTTCCTAAAGGTGTGTGTGTGTGTGTGTGCTTTCCATATCTCTTTTAAAGTCATAACCTTTCACAATCTGGCCCAAAATTTCCCGGGCCCATTTGGGTTCCCCCTCTGTCTGTGTGTCTGTGTGTGTCATCAGGAGGAGCTGAAGCACTTTGAGACCAAGGTAGAGAAGCACAGCCACTACCAGGTAACCAATCAATATGAAAGATCAATCAGTGGGAAAGTCTGTATAACTGTGTGTTATGGTGTTGCAAAACTCAGTCTACATACAGTGCATTTGGAAAGTATTCAGACCCCTTGACCTTTTCCACATTTTGTTACGTTACAGCCTTATTCTAAAATGGATTAAATTGTTGTTTTTTTCCCCTCATCAATCTACACACAATACCCCATAATGACAAAGCAAAAACAGGTTTTTAGAAATGTATGCAAATTTATTATAAATAAAAGAGCTGATATCACATTTGCATAAGTATTCAGACCCTTTACTCTACTTTAACTGATGATTAACAATATTTAAAGTTTAGAAATCTGAACCCATCAGTTGAAACACCTTTGGCAGCAATTACAGCCTCAAGTCTTCTTGGGTATGACGCTACAAGCTTGGCACACCTGTATTTGGGGAGTTTCTCCCATTCTTCTCTGCAGATCATCTCAAGTTCTGTCAGGTTGGATGGGGAGTGTCGCTGCACAGCTGTTTTCAGGTCTCTCCAGAGATGTTCGATCGGGTTCAAGTCCGGGCTCTGGCTGGGCCACTCAAGGACATTCAGAGACTTGTCCCGGAGCCACTCCTGCGTTGTCTTGGCTGTGTGCTTAGGGTCGTTGTCCTGTTGGAAGGGGAACCTTCACCCCAGTCTGAGGTCCTGAGCGCTCTGGAGCAGGTTTTCATCAGGGATCTCTCTGTACTTTGCTCCGTTCATCTTTCCCTTGATCCTGACTATTCTCCCAGTCCCTGCCGCTGAAAAACTTCCCCACAGCATGATGCTGCCACCACCATGCTTCACCGTAGGGATGGTGCCAGGTTTCCTCCAGACGTGACGCTTGGCATTCAGGCCAAATAGTTCAATCTTGGTTTCATCAGACCAGAGAATCTTGTTTCTCATGGTCAGAGTCCTTTAGGTGCCTTTTGGCAAACTCCAAGCGGGCTGTCATGTGCCTTTTACTGAGGAGTGGCTTCCGTCTGGCCACTCTACCATAAAGGCCTGATTGGTGGAGTGCTGCAGAGATGGTTGTCCTTGTGGAAGTTTCTCCCATCTCCACAGAGGAACACTGGAGCTCTGTCAGAGTGACCATCGGGTTCTTGGTCACCTCCCTGACCAAGGCCCTTCTCCCCCGATTGTTCAGTTTGGCTGGGCGGCCAGCTCTAGGAAGAGTCTTGGTGATACCAAACTTCTTCCATTTAAGAATGATGGAGGCCACTGTGTTCTTGAGGACCTTCAATGCTGCAGACATTTTTTGGTACCCTTCCCCAGATCTGTGGCTCTACACAATCCTGTCTACGGACAATTCCTTCGACCTCATGGCTTGGTTTTTGCTCTGACATGCACTGTCAACTGTGGGACCTTATATAGACAGGTGTGTCCCTTTCCAAATCATGTCCAATCAATTTAATTTACCACAGGTGGAGTCCAATCGATCTGTAGAAACAAAAGATGATCAATGGAATCAGGAACCTCCTGAGCACAATTTCAAGTCTCATAGCAAAGGGTCTGAATACTTATGTAAATAAGGTATTTCTGTTTTTTATTTGTAATACATTTATAAAAATGTCTAAACCTGTTTTTGCTTTGTCATTATGGGGTATTTTTTTATTTTATTTTTTTATGAGGATTTTTTTATTTTATTGAATCCATTATAGAATAAGGCTGTAACAAAATGTGGAAAAAGTCCAGGGGTCTGAATACTTTCCGAATGCTCTGTATCTGTCTTTCATTCACCTCACTCGCTTACTTGATGCCCAATCCCAAATGGACCCCTAGACCCTTACGCCCTAGGCACTTGGAGATCTGAGATGGACCCCTAGACCCTTACGCCCTAGGGCACTTGGAGATCTGAGATGGACCCCTAGACCCTTACGCCCTAGGCACTTGGAGAACTGAGATGGACCCCTAGACCCTTACACCCTAGGCACTTGGAGATCTGAGAGGGTTTGGCAGGTCTAAGCAATATGGTGCTTACACCAAGGAAGTGCCTTAGGGCTAGGGTCCAAATTCACACATGGAAAAGTCAGACCCTGATAAATCACATATCGAGTCTCTCGTCACCTCTATCTCTTTCCCTGACTAATCTCTCCTCTTCCATGTCTTCTCTTCTCTTCCTCCTTCTCCATCTTCTCCCTCCTCTCCTCTTTCCCTGCCTCTCCTCTCTCTTCCTGCCCATCTCATCCTCTTCCCTGCCTACTTTATTCTCAATCTCTATTCATGCCCCTTCCTCTCTCCCTGATCTTCTCCCATGCCCCATCTCTCTCTTCCCTGCCCCTCTCTCTCTCTCTGCCCCCTCTCTCTTCCCTGCCACATCTCTCTCCCTGCCCAGACCTCTCTCTCTTCCCTGCCCCTCTCTCTCTTCCCTGCCCCTCTCTCTCTCTTCCCTGCCCTCTCTCTCTCTTCCTGCCCCCTCTCTCTCTCTTCCCTGCCCCTCTCTCTCTTCTTCCCTGCCCCTCTCTCTCTCTTCCCTGCCCCTCTCTCTCTCTCTTCCCTGCCCTCTCTCTCTCTTCCCTGCCCCTCTCCTCTTTCCTGCCCCCCTCTTCTTCCCGCCCTCTCTGTCCGCCTCCTCCCGCCTCTCTATTCCCCTCTTTCCTGCCCCTCTCTCTCCTCCTCTTCCCTGCGCCCCTCTCTCTCTTCCCTGCCTCCCTCTCTCTCTCTTCCCTGACCCTCTCTCCTCTCCCTCTCTCCTCCCTGCCTCTCCTCCCCCTCTCAGGAGCAGTTGGAGTTATCCCACCAGAAGCTGAGACATGTAGAAGCTCTAGGAGACAACGACCACATCCTGAGAAACCAGGAGAGATACAATAACCTGGCAGAGAAGACCAGAGAGATGGGATACAGGTTGGAGAGAGACAATAACCTGGCAGAGAAGACCAGGGAGAGGTGGGATACAAGGTAGGAGAGAGACAATAACCTGGCAGAGAAGACCAGAGAGAGATGGGATACAAGGTAGGAGAGATACAATGACCTGGCAGAGAAGACCAGAGAGAGATGGGATACAAGGTAGGAGAGAGACAATAACCTGGCAGAGAAGACCAGAGAGAGATGGGATACAAGGTAGGAGAGATACAATCACCTGGCAGAGAAGACCAGAGAGAGATGGGATACAAGGTAGGAGAGAGACAATAACCTGGCAGAGAAGACCAGAGAGAGATGGGATACAAGGTAGGAGAGATACAATGACCTGGCAGAGTAGACCAGAGAGAGATGGGATACAAGGTAGGAGAGAGACAATAACCTGGCAGAGAAGACCAGAGAGAGGTGGGATACAAGGTAGGAGAGATCCTGGCAGAGAAGACCAGAGAGAGGTGGGATACAAGGTAGGAGAGATCCTGGCAGAGAAGACCAGAGAGACATGGGATACAAGGTAGGATAGATACAATAACCTGGCAGAGAAGACCAGAGAGAGATGGGATACAAGGTAGGAGAGATCCTGGCAGAGAAGACCAGAGAGACATGGGATACAAGGTAGGAGAGATACAATGACCTGGCAGAGAAGACCAGAGAGAGGTGGGATACAAGGTAGGAGAGATCCTGCAGGAAGACCAGAGAGAGGTGGGATACAAGGTAGGAGAGATCATGGCAGAGAAGCCAGAGAGGACATGGGATACAAGGTAGGATAGATACAATAACCTGGCAAGAGAAGACCAGAGAGAGATGGGATACAAGGTAGGAGAGATACAATGACCTGGCAGAGAAGACCAGAGAGAGATGGGATACAAGGTAGGAGAGAGACAATGACCTGGCAGAGAAGACCAGAGAGATGGGATACAAGGTAGGAGAGATACAATGACCTGGCAGAGAAGACCAGAGAGATGGGATACAAGGTAGGAGAGATACAATGACCTGGCAGAGAAGACCAGAGAGAGATGGGATACAAGGTAGGAGAGAGACAATAACCTGGCAGAGAAGACCAGAGAGATGGGATACAAGGTAGGAGAGATACAATGACCTGGCAGAGAAGACCAGAGAGAGGTGGGATACAAGGTAGGAGAGATCCTGGCAGAGAAGACAGAGAGACATGGGATACAAGGTAGGATAGATACAATAACAGGCAGAGAAGACCAGAGAGAGATGGGATACAAGGTAGGAGAGATCCTGGCAGAGAAGACCAGAGAGACATGGGAACAAGGTAGGAGAGATACAAGGACCTGGCAGAGAAGGACCAGAGAGATGGGATACAAGGTAGGAGAGATACCAATGACCTGGCAGAGAAGACCCAGAGAGATGGGGATACAGGTAGGAGAGATACAATGACCTGGCAGAGAAGACCAGAGAGAGGGGGATGGGTACAAGGTAGGAGAGATCCTGGCAGAGAAGACCAGAGAGACATGGGATACAAGGTAGGATAGATACAATAACCTGGCAGAGAAGACCAGAGAGAGATGGGATACAAGGTAGGAGAGATCCTGGCAGAGAAGACCAGAGAGACATGGGATACAAGGTAGGAGAGATACAATGACCTGGCAGAGAAGACCAGAGAGATGGGATACAAGGTAGGAGAGATACAATGACCTGGCAGAGAAGACCAGAGAGATGGGATACAAGGTAGGAGAGATACAATGACCTGGCAGAGAATACCAGAGAGAGATGGGATACAAGGTAGATGATTTGGTTCCTGTGATGTTGATGTAGCTAGACATTAGCAGCCTAGGGGAGGTTAAATCCAAGTCAGGGTTCCAAAGAAAGATGCTAAATGTTTCTTCATGGGTGGTGATTTTGTAGAGGAGAGGGTGGTCCAATCAGAAAGAGGCAAGGATATTCTTTCTCATTTCCTCTTTCTCAGTGTTTCTGTTGCTGTTACTGTTCAAATCAAATGTTTATTTGTCACATACACGTGTTTAGCAGATGTTGATGGGGGTGTAGCGAAATGCTCGTTCTTCTAGCTCCGACAGTGCAGTAATATCTAACAAGTCATATCTAACAATTTCCCAACATATACCCAATACACACAAAACTAGTAAGGAATTGGATTTAAGAATATATACATATATGGACAAGCAATGACAGAGCGGCATGGACTAAGATACAGTAGAATATTATAGAATAGAATGCAGTATATACATGAGATGAGTAGTGCAAGATATGTAAACATTATTCAAGTGACTAGTGTTCCATTTCTTAAAGTGGCCAGTGATTTCAATAGGCAGCAGCAGCCTCTAATGTGCTAGTGATGGCTATTTAACAGTCTGATGGCCTTGAGATAGAAGCTGTTTTTCATTCTCTCGGTCCCAGCTTTGATGCACCTGTACTGACCTCGCCTTCTGGATGATAGCGGGGTGAACAGGCAGTGGCTCGGGTGGTTGATGTCCTTGATGATCTTTTTGGCCTTCCTGTGACATCGGGTGCTGTAGGTGTCTTGGAGGGCGGGTAGTTTGCCCCCGGTAATGCGTTCGGCAGACCGCACCACCCTCTGGAGAGCCCTGCGGTTGCGGGCGGTGCAGTTGCCGTACCAGACAGTGATACAGCCCGACAGGATGCTCTCAATTGTGCATCTGTAAAAGTTTGTGAGGGTTTTAGGTGTTAAGCCGAATTTCTTCAGCCTCCTGAGGTTGAAGAGGCTCAGTTGCACCTTCTTCACCACACTGTCTGCGTGGGTGGACCATTTCAGTTTGTCGGTGATGTGTACGCCAAGGAACTTGAAACTATCCACCTTCTCCACTGCGGTCCCGTCTATGTGGATAGGGGGGTGCTCCCTCTGCTGTTTCCTGAAGTCTACGATCATCTCCTTTGTTTTGTTGATGTTGAGTGAGAGGTTATTTTCCTGGCACCACACTCCCAGAGCCCTCACCTCCGGCTGTCTCGTCATTATTGGTAATCAGGCCTACTACTGTTGTGTCGTCTGCAAACTTGATGATTGAGTTGGAGGCGTGCTTGGCCACGCAGTCATGGGAGTACAGGAGGGGGCTGAGCACGCATCCTTGTGGGGCCCCAGTGTTGAGGATCAGCGAAGTGGAGGTGTTGTTTCCTACCTTCACCACCTGGGGGTGGCCCTTCAGGATGTCCAGGACCCAGTTGCACAGGGCGGGGTTCAGACCCAGGGCCCGAGCTTAATGATGAGCTTGGAGGGTCCTATGGTGTTGAAGGCTGAGCTATAGTCAATGAACAGCATTCTCACAGAGGTATTCCTCTTGTCCAGATGGGATAGGGCAGTGTGATGGCTATTGCATCGTCTGTGGATCTATTGGGGCGGTAAGCAAATTGAAGTGGGTCTAGGGTGACAGGTAAGGTAGAGGTGATATGATCCTTGACTAGTCTCTCAAAGCACTTCATGATGACAGAGGTGAGTGCTACGGGGCGATAGTCATTTAGTTCAGTTACCTTTGCTTTCTTGGGTACAGGAACAATGGTGGCCATCTTGAAGCATGTGGGAACAGCAGACTGGGAAAGGGAGAGATTGAATATGTCCATAAACACACCAGCCAGCTGGTCTGCGCATGCTCTGAGGACGCGGCTAGGGATGCCGTCTGGGCCGGCAGCTTTGCGGGGGTTAACATGCTTAAATGTCTTAATCACGTCGGCCACGGAGAAGGAGAGGCCACAGTCCTTGGTAGTGGGCCTCGTCAGTGGCAATGTGTTATCCTCAAACCGGGCGAAGAAGGTGTTTTAGCTTGTCTGGAAGCGAGACGTCGGCGACGTGGCTGGTTTTCCTTTTTGTAGTCCGTGATTGTCTGTAGACCCTGCCACATACGTCTCGTGTCCGAGCCGTTGAATTGCGACTCCACTTTGTCTCTACACTGATGTTTTGCCAGTTTTAATTGCCTTGCAGTTTCTGTTACTGTTCATGTTTCTGTTTACTGTTAAAGTCATTGGGTTGGATGAGTAGCCTGTAGCAGGGAACATTTTACAGCTGACATAGATGGGGTACTTAAGACGTTCAAGTTTCATGGACTTTTCAAGTGCATTTCACCCCTGGTCACGATGCACTCGATCTACAACAGAAGGATAACGGGATGGTTGATAGGAATAGTGGACAAGATTTCAAGATGGGTTGTAAACTGGTGTTTTTAGGAAAGAAATAGGTGGAACGGATTTCATCAGAATGTGGCGTAACGTCTCTTCCTCTCTGCCCTCTCTCTCTCTCCTCTCTCTCTGTCTCTGTCGCTGTCCTGTTCCTGTCTCTGTCCTCTGTCTCTGTCTCTGTCTCTGTCTCTGTCTCTGTGTCTCTGTCTCTGTCTCTCTCCCTCTCAGATGAAGAAGCACATGCAGGATTTAAACAGCAAGATCTCCCGCCACGGACTCAACCGCAACGAACTGTAACGATTCCTCAGATGTGACTCTGGGTGACAACCAAGAAGGCTGTGTGTTTTTTCCAACATTAGTGGCTGTTTTCCTCGAAAACAAGACATTTTAAAGTCTGCTTCATGTTTTCTTGCCGCCGTGCTTCAGAGTGGCGATGCTGGTATCATGACAACCCTACAATCAACTGCTAATCTGCCATTATGGAGTATTGTGCGTAGGCCAGCGACAAATCTCAATTTAAATTTAATCCGTTTTAAATTCAGGCTGTAACAAAGCACTGTGTAAACCCAATCAGAATGTACTCGGATGAAAAGTTACTGAAAGAATGGGGCGGCAGGGAGTTTAGTGGTTAAGAGCGTTGTGCCAGTAACCGAAAGGTCGCTGGTTCTAATCCCCGAGCCGACTAGGTGAAAAATCTGTCGATGTGCCCTTGAGCAAGGCACTTAACCCTAATTGCTCCTGTAAGTCGCTCTGGATAAGAGCGTCTGCTAAATGACTAAAATGTAAATGTAGAATGAGTGTCCTGATGTAAAAATACTTTGATCACCCCAAGTGTAATCTTTAGCTCCTGCAGTTTGTAAACAATGTTGACGCTGTCTTTGAACCATGAATACACAGTATCTTATAAAGCCCATGTGGGCAGTGCATCCTGAAGAT